GCCTGATTTGCTTTGCTCTCTAAACCCATCAAAAAGTTATCAGGCTTTATGTCACGGTGAAGAAAACCACGAGAGTGCATATACTCAACTCTATTTATCTGAAGCAACAAGAAAGAACAATTATTAGTAAGGCAGCCAATCGACCAGATTAAACTTTCCAAAATAGGTAGCATACTTACTAACTGATCTGCAAGCATCAAAATTGTTTTTAGAGAAAACTTCTGATTGCAGTAGTTGAACAAGTCTTCTAAGCTTGGTCCAAGAAGATCAATAACCATGGCATTGTATTCACCCTCAACTCCAAACCATTTTAAATGTACAGCTTACTTCCCCCTTGAAGAAGCATGTACAGCTTTGACTCATAGTGTAGTTGGGGATGCTTTGTCTTGCCAGGTTCCTGGGAAACAAGAGGAGTACATATCGATAACAGATCCAAAACTTCAAACATCGGCAATATCATGAAATTCAATTGAAGTATCTACTGGCAAACAAAAAAGTAGAAGTATAACAACATTCTAACAACTAAACTACTAGACATTCTTTTAAGCACTACTTAAACAGATCACCGGGAACTATCAGCTTGAATAATTGATAGACTCACCCCTATATTACCATACAATGTTCCACGGTCCAACTCTAAGAATAATCAAAGTAAACTTTTACCAATTAGTCCTTTTTTATCATTATAAAAGTAAGCATATATATGAACTCTCCAGCAATGGATTTATAGCTCACTGCATACTCTTATCTTCAGAGCAACCTTGAATTAATTTCAGACATCTAAGCTCCAACTCCAAGTCCAACTCGGTGAACTACTTAAAAGAACAAAATCCACTAGTTGATTTTCTTCGATTTCAACAGGCATAAAAAAAACTTCTTTGGGCTTAAACATTCACTTATACAAATCTACTCTACACCCCCGACAACAGATCGATGATATTAAATACCAGGTATCTAAATGAAACACAACGAAATGCATCAAAGAATAACATCAAATACAACTGCAACAATCCTCAGCTAAACCGGTCATCAATTTTAACATATCTAATTACCTAGTGATCAACCAATACACAGTAGTAAACGAAAAGAAAGAGGAAAAAAAATTCCACCATTACTAATTAAAGTTGGTTAAAAACAGTAAAAGGCCCCAAAAATTTACCAGCTTAACAGCCACTTCCTCTCCGCTTTGTACATTAACGCCTGCAAATCACATGCATCAAAAATCAATAAAGCAGCTGGAAAAATAAAATAAAAAACATTAATCATTATACCTAAATAAAGTTCACCAAACGATCCACCCCCGATCTTTCGACCAAGCTTGAATTTTCCACCGATAATATGTTCCATGATCTAACCGTACTCTAGTTTATCACAATAAAAGGAAGCCTCCCTCCTTATTCCACTTTATTAGTATCGAAATTGTCTTTCAACAGTGGAATTGACCCAAACCGTTTCTCCTCAAACAAACTCTCAGATCCATCAAAATTATTATCTATCAACTCCGAAAATCAAAACCCAGATTACCGAATCCTTGAAAGACCCTCCAAAAACTCCCAGAAAAAGGGGGGTTATCCTTTCAAGTGACTAAAGGGGCAAGCAAAGGTAGAAAACTTGGTTGAAAATTCATGAATGTCCATTAATCAGTTAACCAGAACAAGCCTTTTGGAGTCATCAAGCTGCATTTTCTAGATGAGAAAAAAGTTCAGAGAGAGTATTAAAGGGGAACAAAAGGTATATTTTGATGTGCTCCGGGAAAAAGGGGAATACGGGAAAAGAATCTAAAAGAAACAGATTTATCCGCAAGAATTTGGGGTGATGGTCTAAGGACGACGATTTAATTTTCTCGGGAAAATCCTTTGAAGAGGAGAAAGTTAGAGTTTGCTGATGAAATTAGGTGGGGATTTTCAAATTTTTTTAGGTAACACAAATTAGTCTTTGATTAATGTTGGTGTTTGATTGAGGAAGGGACCATCTTTCACTATTTTTCCTGGCCTTGTTTGTGGTGCTCATGGGGGAATGATTCTTTATTTTATTGTTACTTCTTGTTTGGGTTGGTCGGGATATGAACAATCGAGTCTAATTCAAGTAGTATTGAGTTTGACTCAATTCAAAAAAGTGTAAAATTGATTTCGGATCAATTTAAAAATTCACGAGTTTAAAATTTTTAAGTTTTAATGTAAATAAAAAATTGAAGCTCGACTTAAATTTAAACATGAACTTTAAATATATGAAAGTATTTTTTTAATAACATACAAATAGTAATATTATTACTAATATAATTTCAAAAATTTAAAATTTTAATATATATTTTTTTCTGAGTAACTCACGAGTTTTTCGAGTCAAGTATCAAGTAGATCACTTATGTTCGTTAAGAATTAGAGTCAAATCAATTCGATTAGAGTAATCAACGAGCTTTGACCGAGTAGATCTCAGGTTGCTCGCGATCTGTTTCATTTCATTTATAGCGATTTATTAATTTACATGTTTGATTTGTTTATAAATTCTATAAGCATTGATCCATGTTTGAATCACTTAAGTATATCAATATAACTCGGTTTAAATTCATACTCAAACTTCACTTTCGAGTCTAAATTAATATTTATGGTAAATAATTTATTTGAACTATAAAATTAAATTTAATTGTCAATTTGAATCGAAAAGTCAAATTTAAGTATCTGATTGAACAAAAAAGAAGTTTTAGGTATCAAATTAAATCATAAAATCAAGTTTAAATACCCAATTGAACTAAATAAATATTTAGATAGTAAATCGCATGTTGAAACTAAAATCAAGTAGCAAAATATGCATTTACCTAAATTGAACATCCATTAATCAATAACGGCTAAAGCAAATGATTCACACCTTTCGCACAAAAATTAGATTGGTGTAATTATATATATATTATTTGTTCATGATGAATATACGCACATATCTATGTATATTCAGCACGAATGAAGTGATTTCAATGTCGAAGAAATTATTGTTATTTCTTAAAGTCTTATATTCGAATATCATCAGATATTTATCTTAAATTATTAAAAAAATGCATATTTAATGAGAGAGAAAAATATAGTTTTATTGGTAATGAATCGGTTATAAAAGTCTAAACAGTAAAATTAAAATCAAAGAAAAACGTTAATCTTATTGTAGAATTATAATATATAAACTAAAATACAAAATATATAGACTAATGACATCGTTTTAATTTTTTTTTATTGGTTTAAGTCCTTTAAGATAATGGTGGCATTGGACTTTTATGCTTTCATTAGCCTTTAATTTCTGACCAATAATTTTATACCATTTTTTAAAGGATGGAATTATATCACTTTAGAAAAATATAATCATTGATCCATTATAAAGAACAATATAAAAATATTAAAGAGGCTTAATACTTAAATAATTGCTCAAATTATACCATTTTTATTTAAATTGGTGCCTACAGTATTATTTTACCCATCCAGGTATCTAACGTTACAAACGTATTAAATTTTGATGCTCGGGACGTAACAGTCGTTAGTTTTCTACGTTAAGTGACACGTGTCACAATCTGGTAATTTTGAAATTTATATTTTTTTTTAAAATATTAAAAATATTATTATATTTTTAAAAAATAGTTTATTTTAAATTACAAAAAAACCTCAAAATCCCTAAAATCTTCAAATCCTTACACTAACCCATCGTCGCCGCCTTTTCCGACCACGACTGTTGCTGCCGCCAACGTAGTCTCTTCCATCATCTTAGTTATATATCGTCGTAGTTGTAGTAGATTGGTCGTTAGAATCACGTGAGATCGCGATTTTCATCCTAGGGTATACGTGATTTAAAACCTCGATTCAGCGTCGTTAGTCGTCGATCAGTCATAATTTCATAGGGATTTTGATTGCACGTGGGAGGTGATGTCGGGTGGAGCTTCATCGGCGGCAAAAGGTGGCGGGCGATGTGGGTTTAGGGGTTGAAATGAATGTTTTCAAAGTTTTTGGGTTATTTTGAAATTTATATGTTTTCTTTTTAAAATATATAATTTTTTTAAATTTTATAAAAAGTTTTAAAATTATCAAATTGTGACACGTGTTAATTAACAAAAGAAATTAACGCTGTTGACGACCCGAGCACTTAAAGTGATAATGTTTGTAACAATAAACACTTGGATGGGCCAAAAAATACTATAGGCACCTGTTCGGTAAAAAATGTATAGTGTGGGCACTTATTTGGGTATTAAGCCTATTAAAAATAAAATTCATTTCCTCTCGATTGTGGTACCTTAAATTAAACCACTGCATTAACAAACGAACCACAATAAAAAATTAATTTATTGAAAGATCACTGATAATCGTAAATAAGAGTCGAGCGTTGTGAGAAAATTTTCTCCTTAACACAAATTGCATATCCAAATTTATTTAAGAGTCCAAAGCAAAGCAAATCAATAGGATAACAAATTAACACCATATTAATTAGTCGATGCGATATTAAATCCAATCCTAAAAAAATTAAACAAAATAAAAGATCAAACAACTTATAAAGAAGATTAAAAACGTATCAAAAGATAAAAAAACGTGTCGACAGAAAAAAATATATACGATGAATAAAATAGGGTGAAAATGACACTTTTGATGTATAATGTGACAATAAAAAATTAAGATAATAAAATAAAAAACATATAATTAATAAATCATTGATGAAAAAAGGCTACTATTGTAAATTCCAAAGCAAATCATATCATCAACCAATTAATATTTGTCCCTCATGCTTCAGCATTTTCAATATTAGCAATCAACTTTAACCTGGTTTCCCATTATACCCCTGAGCATTCCATTTTCTACCTCCAGCAAAAAAGTCATCAGCTTTCATTTCCCAACTATCACACCAATTGTCTCTAACAAAACAAAAACAGTCTTTGGATCCTCTCTTTCTCTATCTAAAAGGAAGCTTTTTTATTTGTTTGGTTTCACTTTCTCTATCTAAAAACCCTCTGTTTCTCTCAGAACTTTCCTTTTCCTTGAGGTACTGCAAGCCTTTGTTTGGCTACCTGAGTGAGCTATCTTCACAACCCAAATGTCAAAACTTGTTCCTTTTTTGGAATTTTCATGAAAAATTGCTGCTTTTCAAAGATCTGTTTCTTGAGGGGTAACAATGAAATCTTCTGCTCGACTTGACTCAGTGGTGTTCCAGCTCACACCAACTCGAACCAGGTTAGGATTTTCTTTGATTTGTTGCTAATACATAGCTTCATAGTGTTGGCATTAGAGTGTGTTTATATATGTTTTTGAACTTAGTATTGTTTGTATGTAATGATTGTAGATATGAATTATTATGTTTTGCTTTCACTTTTACCAGGTGTGATTTGGTGATATGCGCAAATGGGAAGACTGAGAAGATGGCTTCTGGTTTGCTTAATCCATTCCTTGCCCATTTGAAGACTGCACAAGAACAGATTGCCAAGGGGGGTTATTCAATCATCCTTCAACCAGACCTTACCATTGATGCTTCTTGGTTCACAAAAGGAACAGTGGAGAGGTTTACAATCCTATTTGGTGCTTCTTTATTGATGGGATTGTTTTCATTTGATGAATCATTTTTGTCGTTGTTGTAAAATGGCATTGGATCACTGTTTCTGTGTTGTACTAGTGTGATGGTTGAGTCTATCATGTCTATCGATCTTGTCGAATATGGCTCGAAATTTTGCATGAGAAAGTGATTTATCTTTTTGGCATTTGAAGGTTTGTTCGGTTCGTGAGTACCCCCGAGATCTTGGAACGGGTGTATACTGTTGAATCTGAGATTTTGCAGATTGAAGAGGCTATTGCAATTCAAAGCAATAACAATGTAGGATTGAGTGCTGTAAGTGATATTTTTGGGAGTTTTATTATATGTTGTAAACCATATAGATTCATTATACATGTTTTCTTTTCTTTTGACAGGTCGAAGAACATCGAGTAAAACCTGTGGAAAGCAACGGCACAGAAGGTATCATTCGTAACTTTTAGCCTATGGTATTGGCCTTCACTCTAACTTGGACTGGTACCATTTTTAATACAAATTAAGGATGGATTTTGGACCAAGAAGTCAATACCATTTTGGTACCATTCCTTTCTTGAGTTACTAACGAAGCTTCATGTTTATTCAAAACTTCTTTCTTTTTAATTTTTTATTTGTTATTGTATAATACCTGATGGCTTTCGACAGGCAGCAGGGCTAAACCAGATTCCAATGACGAGAAAGCCATCGTCCTTTACTCAGTCAGTATACGTAAATAGTTCTTAGCTTGTATTAGATCTTCTCACAAATTTGCTTAAATCTTTTTTTTCCTTGCAGCCAAGTGCACCGTGTTCTGAAGCGAATGCATATTCTGCGGAAGGAAATTCTAAGTATGTTGTAGTGTGGCTGAATGGAAATTTTTGTATCAAATTGAATATTATGAATAGTTTTGAGGAGTCACTTTGATTTTTCCATATTTGAAATGTATTTTTCCATCCATCTAGCTTCCTGGAAAGTCCTCACTTATAGCTAGTGAATCAATTCTTTAATGCAGTAACCTTATCATCTATTTTAGTATGTATAATTTGTTTGAATAACCTTAAGGCCATATATAACGTATTGTTTCGGCTTATCACCAGAGCTCAACTTTTGAAAGTCCTGGAGACAAGGAAGACAGTGCTGCAGAAAGAGCAAAGTATGGCATTTGCACGAGCTGTAGCTGCTGGTTTTGACATCGATCACATGGCATCTTTGATTTCATTTGCTGAAACTTTTGGAGCCTCTCGTTTTAGGTACGTGGTATTTTTCAAATAGGGAACTTAGTTCTATGCAGCCATATAATCTTATCGGTGATTAAATGTCATATATTAATCGGTTGATTTCTCTTAGATCAAAGTTACCCGAGTTTAATATGACAGTTTTCCGTCAATAATGCCCACTGGAAGAGTAATTTGTGCACCTGTGAATGGTCTCTCAATTAAGTTATCTTTTCATTGCAGGGATGCTTGTATAAAATTTACTGAATTATGGAAAAGAAAGCATGAAACTGGCCAGTGGCTTGAGATTGAAGCAGATAAAGCAATGTCCAGTCGATCTGATTTTCCTGTTATAAATGCAGCTGGCATTGTGTTTTCCGAGAACAACGGAAAATATGGTGTTGAGTCAAGTACAGGTATGTGTTTTATAGGTGTCTAGATAAATCCTAGTTTATCACCTAAGTTACGAACTGAAATAAATAAAATTCTGATATGGCCAGATGAGAAGCCTTCAATGGATCAACAAACCCCGGATCGTCAAGAATCTTACCAATCTCAGTATCTGCATCCCATGTTTCCTCCCTGGCCTATCCATTCTCCACCGGCTGGTATGCCATCCTTTCAAGGATATCCTATGCAAGGGATGCCTTACTACCCGAATTATCCTGGAGGTAGTCCATTTTTTCAGCAACCTTATCCGTCAATGGAGGATCCGAGACACAATGTTGGTAAAAGAATACAGAAACATCATTCAATGGAGAGTAGAGAAAGCCATAGTGGATCAGATACTTGGGAGATGGAAAGAGCAAAATCTCAAGATAACGAGGAGTTGGATAATGGAACTTCACTAAGTCCAAAACCGAGAAAGAAGAGTAGCAAGTCAGGTAAAAAGCAGTCGGGAGTGGTAGTCATTCGGAACATCAATTATATCACTTCAAAAAGGGAGAACTCTTCAGGTAGTGATTCACAGTCATATTCTGGCTCTGAAGAGGATGTGGAAGATGGAGATACAGAGCATAAGAACACTCGGAGATCCTCAAAGGAGAATGGAAGTCGAACAAAGTCTGTCGAAGAAACAGTAAACGGGAAGGAGACAGATGGTGGACACTGGCAAGCATTTCAAAATTACTTACTTAGAGATGCTGAAGACAAAGAACGTAGAACTGGTCAAGAAATGTTTTCGACAGAAAAGGAAGTTCACGGAAAGAGAAGACCGAACAGAGTGCGTGGAAGTGAAGACCCTTTAATTTTTGGGGGACTAGAAATGGGTCAATTCGAAGAAGGGAATGCAACCGTCATGCATGATACTATTGCATGTGGCTCTCGCATGCCGAAAGCATCGAATGATCAATCTTTGACCATTGGAAGAGGTGGTCACTCTGCTGATGGTGGCAGGATTTCCATTGATGCTGAAATGGGTGGCAGGAGAGTTTATCCAAGGACTATAAATGATGAATTCATCCTAGATAGACAATATAATCCGCCAGATTTTACAAATTCTCCATCAGATCCACAGGCTTTTAATCGGTTTGAACGTTCATCCAACGGTTTGGAAAGAAGATCATCAAATGATATAAACAATGATTCCTACATTGTTCCATTCAGGTCCACTTCAGTCACTCAGGCTGGAACTGATGACCGTAGTGCTATGAATATGGTTTCCGATTTCTCGTTGTCACTTCAGAAAGCAGAAAATATACCTAATAGGGTTGGAAGCCAGGTCAATTGTGAACCCAATGATTTGAGTTTGATGCCTGAGCGTGTAACAGAAATGGGGTCAATCGGATATGATCCGGCTTTGGATTATGAAATGCAGGCTCATGTCAAAGATGGTACTTCACTGGTTAAGAAAAATAAAGAGGGAATGCAAGGGTCTAAAAAGTCAGAAAAGGACCGAAAATCGAAACTTATTGCTGATCCTTCTGAGAAAAAGAAGGCTGTAGGACCAATAAGGAGAGGAAAACCTTCAAAACCGAGTCCTTTGGATGAAGCTAAAGGCCGGGCTGAGAGGCTAAGAACCTATAAAGCTGATCTTCAGAAAATAAAGAAGGAGAAGGTATGGTGCTTTTGGTGCACTGAATTCTTCGAATGCTTATTGTACAACCTCAGTCTCTTTACAACTAGCTCATATGCTTTATCAAATGAATTTTTTTTTCGTTAATAGTAATTCATTTTTTTTACCACTTTTTCAGGAGAAGGCCGAAATTAAACGACTTGAAGCATTAAAGATGGAGAGACAAAAGAGAATTGCTGCTAGAGGCGGTTCTGTTCCGGCTCAGGCATCGGTGGTTGCTCAAAGCCGGAAACAATTGCCATCAAAACTTTCTCCAAGCTCTTATAAGGCATCAAAGTTTACTGATGGTGAGCCTGGACCGTCATCGCCACTACAAAGGTCCATCAAGCCTGCTTCTGTGGGATCAGCTGATTCTCACAAAGCTTCTAAACCCAGCAAACTGAACACTGGAACCCCATCCCATGGAAATAGATTAAGCCGGTCAGTTTCATCATTGCCTGAAACGAAGAAGGACATTGGTGGTGTAACTCCTGATATAAAGGTATCCATGGCAAGGATTAGGAGATTATCAGAACCGAAAACAAGTAGCAGCCCACTTGTTTCTTCAGTGAAATCACGGAACTCCGAGCCATCAAAGAAAAAAAAAGTATCTGGTGGGCCTGAAAGCAAAAAAATATCAGCAATTGTGAACCATGATAAAAGTAAGATTGCGTCTCTTCCCGAGCTTAAAATTAAAACAACTAAAGCCCCTGATGTTACCAGTAGCAAATCTAAAGGAAATGCAATGACTCAGAAGGTGACTGGAAGTATTTCTTCGACCACCGATGTTAATGAACCAAGTAGGAACAAGGAAAAAGTTCCACTTAATGGCGATGAGGATGACAGTACAGTGGTTGAGAAAACTGTTGTGATGCTTGAATCCATTCCGGCAGTAAACTCATCAGAAGGAACTACTGTAGTTCAGAAGGAAAATGATGGTATCGCTAAAATTAGGAGGGAAACTGAGATGACGTCAGATTATGCTGCCATTCATGCACCAGTTTCTTCGTTGAATCTTGAAGCACTTGATAAAGAACACCAGATACAACAAAAACCACAAGCTTATGAGGTAGGATTTATAAAAAATGTAGCCTAGAGTTTTATAGTTCTAATTATCAGTACTGGTTTGTTACAAGAATCATGCCGCTTAACCACATTTCTTTCCTTTTTCATACGTAGAATTGTGTTGATTATTCAAACATTTAAATCATCTTTTATTATTTAATCATGGCACACTGCAAATGAGGACTGGTCATCCTTGTAGAGAGCTCATTGGAACCTTATTTTTGTAGTTTCTGCTCTATAGCAATTCCCATATTAAATTGGAACTTTATTCTTAAGCAACACTGAATAAATATTTCATGTCTCTGAATATGTTGTGCACTTATTTGCAGGTTCAAAAGGGAAACATAAGTAGCACTGAGAAGGAATCGTCAAAATTTACATGCACAAGTGTTGCTGAAAACCAGTATCAAGCCCCTTTAGCTCGGGCCTCTTCTTTGGAAGATACATGTACTGAAATTTCAGAGTATGACAGAGCACCTCCAGCTAGCATGCAGGCTGCAACAATAGACTCAGAGAATGTTAGAGCTCTTGTAGCTGACACTAATGGCTTGAAGCTAGAAAAGATTCCTGAAGTGCTGGATAAGCCTCAGGTGAAGGAGTCATCGAAAGGGTTTCGACGGCTGTTGAAGTTTGGAAAAAAGAGCCATAGCTCAACTAGAAGCGAACATAGTGTTGACTCAAACAGTGAGGCTGAGGAGTTGGTTGTGAACGCTGTCTCTTCTAGTGAAGGTAATTGCCTTGTGTTCCAAGATACAAAATGCACGACTATCTTTTAACCAAAAAAAGTGGGACTATCTCGGGGTCTGATAGCCTGTTTGCATTCTGCATTAACTTTACCTCATTTCTTGAACAAGATAAATGTCACGGTATGTGCATGAATGATATTTTGTTTCTGTACGAGGCTCTTAAAAAGGATATATATAATCAAAACATGTTACGGTGGAGCTTGAACAATGTTCTTTTTTCATATCTTCTGTTATTTAGTCACTAGCCAAATGTGCTAAGATTGTATTTGGTTCTGAAGCTGACTAGTTTTCTGGTTGCTATCAGTTCATACGTTGAAGAATCTGATCTCTCAGGATGAGACCCTGACAACTGGTAATACTCCACAAAAATGTAAGTATTTTCTTCTTGTTACCCTTCGATTCATTTTTCCCCAATGCTCACGAATATCAGTATTCTACATCACTAAGGTGGAGAATCTTAAGGACCTCATAAATATAATCATGCAGCTTCTCGCTCATTTTCGTTGTTGTCATCATTCCGAAGCAAGACCAATGAAAAGAAGTATTCGGCTTGACAATGAAGTTGAAGCCATGAACTTTGTTATTTTCCCTTTTTGCAACCTGAAAAGATTAGTTACCATTACGAATATGTTTGTAAAAATGTTCTTTCCGCAGCCAGTCATTGGTTGATGTTTTTGAACTGAAATCTGTTTCTAGCAGACTTTTCCACCCGACTTATATTTACTCTCTTTTGTATCCATGAATTCTGCCATTGTTTACTGAAAATAAGAAAATTCCATCAAGTTTTTCAAGTCTCGCTGTCTTTTATACAAGGATTGGGAGTTTCATTGGTTTCCTTACGTCGAACATGAGGTTTAGCTTAGTTGGTTCTTGAAAGAGTTTCTGTTGTAATCTAAGAGAACAAATCGAGAGAGAAGGAAAGATGATGCATGATATATTGCTACTAAAGTACTAATCAAAACGAATGATGATGCATTGATACATAACAATGGATGCTTAAAACTCTAGATGAAAACAGATAGTGCTACTAATCAAAACGAATAATGATGCATGATATATTGCTCTTGCCCATTCTTGTTAAAGCCTCCTTTGTTAGGCACTCAGCTGCTGCTTGTGGATCCTCTAAATGCATAATGAGATTCACAGCCTCCTGATTTTTCATCACCTGGAATGAAGAACAGTGCGCATAATGAGTAGAACCAGTTGCAGCTTGAGCCTATGTTACTCAGACTCGGCTGTGATGTCGGATAACGACATGTGTTCGACGTATGCTTTTGAAGTATTTTTCATGCCTTTGAATTATAGAGGGTCATGTCCCCTATACCTATATCTGAGAAATCATTGGAACACAATGAAAAATGGTTTTATTTTGATGTACCTCCCAGATTCCAGTGCCTGCTATAATGATGAATTCAGTCTCAGCATCGAGATTTTCGGCCCCAACCACAAGTTCTGAGCTCTTGGGATGCCTTATCGCTGCCACATTACTTGAATTGCATGCTAATATACGAACTTTAGGCACAAATATGACACAACACAGCATCAAATAATGCCACTAACAAAATGTATTATTTGTTCAGGGTGGTTGCATATACCTGGAAACAATCTTCGGGCCCAATGTCTTCTAGCTCCACCATAGTGCTTGCTGCTTAGCTGATGAGCCACACCATCTCTACATACGACGGCTCTATAGCCACCCAGGTTAGCCACCACGAGCTTTTCTCTGTTGATAACCATCACAGACGCCGACTCTGCTTGAAATGTCACGTATTCCTTCTGCTCCTCTCTCGCCTTTGCTTTTGCTCCAGGATACGCTTTCTTTATCGTCTCCTTAGTCTTCCTATAGATTCGAGACTGCAACGAAAGTTTTTGATATAAATGCGAGGGATTCAAAGGACAAAATCACAATCCACACTTGCACATGCACATATGATTCCATGTTTACCTGTTTAGGCTTCTTATCAAAGAAATGAGACTGTACATACTTGGTAACACCATCGCCGATCCGGGGATCAAAAACTCCAAAGAACCATAACTCGAGCTCATCAATTTGCGCTCTTTGGACCACGACTGTATCAAATTCTCGTTCATCAGAGCAGCCTCTCAGCAACATATTTTCAACCACATGATATCCATGAGAGACTGGCATCATCCATGAAGGCTTCTTTTTAACCCCATTCTCTCTTTTCTTGCTCCCACCATCTCCTATACGAAATCGCCTCAGCTTAAATGCCTGCTCCATCACCAAAAAGGAAAAAAAAAAACCCAGAAAACATCAAAAAAAAGAGAAGAAAAAAATAATCCCAGAGCTGGTACATTGAAAACTAAGCTTTATATGAAATCAAACATGGAAAAGAAAATCTGGGTTTCAATCTATGAAACGATTCATTTCGTTTTTCTTACGTTAAATTCATGAAGAAAGTCACCTTTGACCCAATTTTTTTTTTTTTTGAAAATGGCGTTGGATTCTGCTTACCTTGAGCTTAAAGTGGATGTCTTCCAGTCTCATGTTTACAAATTCTTCAACTTTGTGATGGAAAAGAAACTTTGAAGGAGTGTATTTGAAGAAATACATAAGGTTGATCTCTTTGAAGTTAATGGAAAATCTGAATCTGTTTCATAATATCTAAGTTATTAATGTTTTTAAATGGGAAAATTTATTGGTTTTGATTGTATCTGCCCAGCAAATTTCCTCGTGTAACTGTCATTTTTATGCTATTACATGTGTGTGCTTTTTCACGAGAATTTTTTTCAAAAAAAATAAAATAAATAAATAAATAAAACAAGACTTGAAATTCTTGTGAGTTGGGTAGATAAACCAAACTATGTTATGTTAATCTCAAACACTAGATTTGTAGACTTTCACAAGGAAAAAACAGGATTTGTACCGGTCGGATCAGATCTTGAATATGAAAATTGTTTGCTTAATTAATACTTGTCGAGGAATATTCTTGTTACGTGACAATGGCCAACCTTAGTGATAGAGTTTGAGAGATCGACTTAAATTTTTAAAAGATTTAGATGTTTAAATTAATATTTTTAAAATTTTTGAAGGGTTTAATTTATATTTTTTCTTAAAAAATTCAATTTTTAAAATTTTGAGAGGTTTAATGAGAATTTTTAAAAATTATGAAAGGATGTTTAATTAAAAATATTAAAAAATTAAAATTAAATTTGAATTTGAATTTCTAAAAATAGGGGGTAAATTGAATTTTTAAAAAATTGTAAGGATAAAATTAGAATTTTTAAAATTTTGGGAGACCATGACCCCTTCTAGTCCAGCTTGTGTTCCGCCCCTGGAGATGAATTAAAATTTCAGCAATCATATTTATATGGATAATACTATTGTAGTCACTTATTTTCGTCCGAATTTTATTTAGTATATATATAATAATATAATGTAGTTTTTGAAAATAAATTTTGAAAATATATAATATATATTTTTTAGAAAACATTTTTTGAAAGCATATAATATATAATTTTTAAAAATCGGTTTTTAAAAATATATAATATGATTTTGAAAATACATTTTTGAAAACATATATTATATAGTTTTGAAAACACATTTTTGAAAACTTATAATATATATAGTTTTAAACATATATAATATATAATATAGTTTTGAAAACATATATATAGTTTTTAAAACGATTTTTTGGAAACATATATAATATATAATTTTTAAAAATATATTATTTTTGAAAATATAATATTATATAGTTTTTATTATATATTATTTATATTATTATATATTATTTATATTTATATTATTATTTAATTAATTAATTTTATTTTTTTAAACATGTCTAATGAGTCCAAAAATCCAAAGTCCGGGTCCAAAAATTAAGCCCAACCGAGCCTACAAGCCTGACTCAGCAAGTAAACCCGGTGTAAGGCTCAACGAGCAAGCCAGTAGGAAAAAAGGTCCATTAGGGTTTTGGTATATAGTCCTAGCGCGGCATGGCATACAACCATTAGATCGAGCAGTGATCAACGATTTAGATCGCATAATAATTAGGGTTTTGAAGCCCTAAGCATTTCATCACATGCACAGTCGCACAAGAGCCGTTGGATCTAACCACTTGATCCAATGGCCAGAATTCGTACCCAAAGCGCACGCTACTACACACTGAATCGTACCCAAATCAAAACAGAATCGGAGCAAACAAACCAAACCCATATTTCTCATGATTTTCGGTTAGAGGGGAATATATCCCAAACCCAAGCACGTTAGACAACAGGGAGAACAACCCCATAGTTCTCGACTAACCACCACCGAATTAGGAAGAAAAGAACTCTCCCGATGGGCTATATATACCTGCAAATCGAACAAAGACATGGAGGACAAAAAAAAGGAAGCATCGAAACACCAAAAAATAAACCAAATATTAGCTATTCGAATTACTCACCAAACAAAAAATCATAAAAAACCGAGAGTGAAATAAACTTAGCTTAGGAATCGAGAAGGTTTCGATCGATGGAAGTTGAAAAGGTTCACTGGGAAAGGTAAAAGTCACAACTTTCATCCTTGATCTACGTCGTTTGGGGTTTTTTTTAGAGGATTCGGGTTTAGGGTGTTGAGGGGAGTGTTTTGGTAAAGTTTGGGTTTTTCCATCCATCGGAGGGGGTGACCCAAGCAGTGGCTGTGGCTGGTTAGTGGCCGGTCGTTGGTCGGTTGGGATTTTGGGGATAGGGTTTGAGAGTTTTTTTTTAGAGAAAATATTTTTTTGTGTGAAATGGATTAGAATGATTTTTTTGTGGTTTTTGGGCTATTTATAGGGAGGCTTGTGTGTAATTACGAACTAGTTTAATTATTTTCGCAGTCCCTCTGATTTTGAAGTGTAATTCATTTTGGTTACATATTGTAAATTTTCCCTTGAATTTTGAATTTATTCAATTTAATCCAAGTTTATAATTTTTATATTTTGTGAATTGGCCCCTAACTTTTTATTTTTCCCCTTGTAGCCTTCAATTAACATATTAGACCTTCAATTTTTAATGTTTTCCAATTTAATCCCTCTTAAATTTTTATTTTCTTTTTATTTAATTTAATTTAATTTAAAATTTTATGTTATCTTATCTTATTTTATCTTATTATTTAACATTAATTTGGTTTTTTAGGACAACTTTAATTGGTCAAAGGTAAGTAAATCAGATCGAATTTTAAATAACTTTTAATTTTCGCAATTAAGACAATCGAAAAATTGAATTGGTACCGAAAGGGCATTACAAGGCTGTAAATCCTTCACTGACTGTAATTGACTCCCGAATCCGATTAATTTTTGGTAAAACGAATATCAGGTAAACAGTAAGTTAAGGTATCCGATCAACCTTATTTTAAATGATCGTTAGCGGCTCTAACACATCGAAATTAAGTTAGAACCCGATTTCGGCCCCACTCGATGGACAATTACGACAGCTTGGCGACTCTACTGGGGATTAGTAAGTGAGTCAGGCCAAAATTAATTTCCGATTGTCTTTTTAAGTTAAAATTGTAAGTTTAAATTTTAATTTATCTTTTTTATTCTTATTATTTATCTTTGATTATTTTTTAAATAAATGGTTGTACTGATGTTTTTAATGATTTCAGTTTTTTCAAAAATTCATCTCAGGCTCTACACTCGAGCTCCAAACTCTTTCGTAAGTGGAGGTAAAAGCGACGCCTTCATGAGAATTTATTCTCCGTAAAGTCCTAGCAAGTAACCTTCAGGATTCATATATCTTATGTCTTCGTGTGAATTTATTCTCCGTACAGACGTAAGGGAATGTGTCCTCTCGAGTTTAACTTGGTCCACACAAGCTTGTAATAAGCTTAAGACTGAGGTCTGGAAATCCCAAGGGGGCACAAACAAGGAGAACTCGGGTACCTTTTTTAGAACCTAAACCATGAGACAGGAAGGAATAATATCCCACCCCGAAACTTCATTTCAAAACCTAGGATGCTTGAGTTATTTCCTACTTTATTTTCAATTCAAAGCATGCGAACTATAAATATATGCGATTAGGACTTGCTTAAAAATTAACATGTGGGATAGAGATCATGTCCGGGTAGAAATAAAAGCATGTGGGGTAAATATTATGTGGGGTAGGAATTTTTATTTTTATTTTTATTTTGATTATTATTTTTATCATACTAACTTGTCTCCTTTTCATTTTTGTTTTCTTTATTTTTATCATTTGTATCATTTAAAGAGGTGTTGAACCGCAAAAAGTGTTCGTTAAACTCAAATAATTTGCATTAATGGAAAAAGAAGTTGTAATGCAAGAGATGAAAAATAAAGAGGTTTGACTATGGTCAGAGAATACTCAGAAGGAAAAGGGAGACAATCTGCAAAGTAACTATGTGTCAGATCTGGTTGGTTATGCTTCTGTCAGCCTTAAACAGAACGATGTTCAGGAGTTGTGAAACATTTGGGACAATCGAAAAAATGACAAGAAACATAGATTCTGTCAGCGATATGGTGATATCACACATCTACTCTATGTCAAGATAGATGAGCCCCTAGTTTGAGCCTTAGTGCAATTTTGGAATCTGGGGTACAATTGTTTTACATTCAACTAAGAAGACATGATGCCCATAATTGAGGAGTATACTACTTTAATACATTGTGAAGGAATCAAAATGGATCGGTTCTACAACAAATATACCAAAAGTCATCCTTTCAATAATGGGTTGAGAATGGTTGTAGGGGTAGATGAAAAGTTGGTAACTGACCGGATTCAACACAAAGGTAAAAGAGAAGGAATTGCATGTACCCATATCAAGCAATTAATGAGGAATTATCCTGATGAATGGAAGGTGATTGACCTTTTTTGCACTGGGTATCTATGGCTTGGTTATTTTTCCAAAAACTTTAAGATACATTGAGGTGACTGTGGTGGAACTGTTCGAACAACTGCCTAAGCGAGTGAACCCTGTGCCAATAATCTTAGCTGAAACTTTTCGTTCACTAAACCATTGTAGAAAGACTGGGGGGAAGATTTATAGGGTGCACACAACTTCTCTAGATTTAGATCCATATTCATTTCTAGAAGACTGATGGGATTTCTTACCGCCGATTCAACACCACTTACTCTCATCTGGAAGAATTCCTTACAAAAAAGTGGCGAGAAGGCATTTCGAAGGAAAAATGGGTAAAGGTATTCACACACCTTCAAGATAAGGACATTGTCTGGAGAGCCCCTTGGGTGACCCATAGTGACATCCTTTATCAATGTGGATATTCAAGAATCATAATGTTACTTGGGTTATGGGGAGGAGTTAGTTATTCTCTACTTTTAGCACTTCGATAGTATAGGGCACGTCAGTTTGTCCTGGTTACACATGATATATTTGGATCAGAGTTTGCATACCAGGAGGACAACTACAAGAAGAAGGTCAAAGATGTAGCTGAGTCATGGAAGAAGATATTTTGGACAAATATTGTGGCTGCTAAAGACATGCTTACTCTAGATTATTTAGAATGGCGGAAGCTAAGGAAGAATGACACTGTTCCCGTACCAAATCATGAAGATACTCAGATCATGGAAGAGCATCTTAAACCAATTCCCTCCGAATTGGA